GTGGGAGGAACCCTGCACTGGAGCAGGGGGAGAGTGTGAGGGTCTCTCCCCCTGAGAGTGAAGGAGCAGCAGAGGCAATGTGTAATGGACTGACCACAACCCCCATTCCCTATCCCCTTGCACTATGTGTGATGGACTGACCACAACCCCCATTCCCTATCCCCCTGCACTGCTGGGGCGGATGAGGTAGAAAAATGGGGAGCAAAGCTGAGCCTGGGAAGAAGAGAGGGGTGGGGGGAAGGTGGTTTTAAGATGTGATTTTTATCTCTAATTACCATACTCTGATTTGATTGGTAACAAATTACATTGTTGAGTAACGTAACCCCAAGTTGAGTCTGTTTTGCTCGTGACCATAATGGGCCCACAAGCCTTTCCTGATATTTTCTCCTCCCCATCCTACCGGGGAGAAGTGAGCAGGTGGCTGCATGGTGTAGTTGCTGGCTCATCCTAAACCACGACAACAGCCGTACTGTGATCTTTCTTAACTGAGAAATCATTTAGTTTAACAGAAAAATCATTTAGAGTAACTGGAAAAAAGACTTCTTTCCTCTTGGACTTCCATTCATATTGACTTTCTATTACTGGCCTCGTGTAATGTCTGCACACAGGAGTGTTAAAACTGGTCTCCAAAAGGAAAAACAGATTAGAAACCAACTCTTGCATGCAGTGTGGATGAAGGCTAGGCTGGTCAGGGGATTGTTTATTTTAATTAAAGTTTACCTAGTGCAACTAAGGAGCTGTTCCCTCCCAGGAAGTCTAGCAGAGGCAATCAGAAAAAAGCTGGCCCCATTCAAGTTCTTGTATGGGAAGGTGGCAGGTTACTTAAAGAAATGTGAAAGGGAGAGTGACAACTTTGCAGAAAAGCAGGAGGTTTAAGCAATAAAGGAGAGGATGAATGTACAAAGCTCAAACAAATCAATACCATTTAATCCACATTTGTGTCTTAAAAAGAGTAACTTATCTAAAAAGCCTGTGTAATTTTAAAGGATAGAAAGACAAAGGCAAAGGAACTAGGTAAGAAGAGACTATCTTATTCAACAGCAGCTTTTTTTAAAAAGTATTGAAGGATTCTCCCTCCCTTTAAAAAGAGATAAATGTCGGTGGTGGCTGATTCTGAGACACTGCATGCTTCGCTGACCTTTCCTTTAGGACATTTAAGGAGACGTAAAGGGAGTTGATGTGTTGGTGGATACTAAGCCCTTTGGACTATGAAACACATACTCAAGCATGGTCACAGTTTCAGTATTTAATTGTTCATAAAATCATTTGCTGAAAGCAGGTGTAGCTTAAGCCAGCAGCAGCTAGAGTTAATATATTCCGGAACTGCAGCAGCTCCAGCTGTTCCAGGTATTTGAGGACCTTTGTGAGGTTTGTTCCCCATCGGCTCTGGCAGCCTTGCTGGGTAATGCTGCTGAGGACGCCTGAGTGCCCTAACTTCTGTGTCACCCAGCAATAACACAAACCTGATCCCACAAGTAGAGATAATTTCCAGTAATTGTTTCTATGTTTCCATGGTTACTGGAAAGAGAAAAATTTCTATTTTTGCTTCATGAAACTACACAAAAATTGAATGTTTTCTAAAATCTTTGCAAGGTTAAAATTAAATTGTGAGGAGACAATATAGCCATTTTCCCTTCATGTGTGCCATCTTTTTAGTCTCTTTCCACACTTTCCATCACTTCTGACCTGCACAAATCCTACCAGCTCCACAGCAAAGCTGCCACTCAGAAATAATCCCAAAGGGGGCAGAGATCAAACCCTTTCTTAAAAAAAAAAAAAAAAATTTGATTCCAAGGTCTAAAGAGTTTGTTATTTATATAAAAGCAGCTAGAGGAGATGAGGCAGAAGTTGACAGTAATCTCCTGCTCCATTTTCACAACTCTGCCTACAAGGGCAAATACGATTATTTGTTGAACCGATCAACTACCGGTGGGCTTAGTGTGTAGTGTTTAATGAAACCTCCACAGAAATATGTGTTGTTGCATATGAGAGTGGGGCTTTTTTCTGTTTCCAAGCCCAGGCGATACCTATATCATGTAAGAGGGCACAGTGAGGGGTCCTTAGTTGGCAACCTATCCGGGCTAACTGGTGTTTGAAATTGATCCAGGGCCATCCAAAGGTACGAGCCCAGGTCCATGTCAGCTCTGTGGCTGTTTTAGGTCACTGCTCTAAAGAGTGCTACCAAGACACAGAGTAATACTGGTCTGACTAGGATTCAAAGACTTCTAGTTCATTTGGGTGTATTTTAGTGCCTTGCAAAAGGCACATGAAGGAATAAACACGAATAACCCAAACATCCCTTCTGGTGTTCTGATGGCTCCAACTTTACGTCACACAAATATGCACCATCTCTTTGGAGTAGTGAACCAGGCAGTTGACAAGACCTTTCCTAGAGACCTCTCTGCTCCATCCTCTGTTATCTGCTGCAAAAATGTACTTTACTCAAAATACCCACTCATCATATTGCTCTTGTTTCTATTTATACCACAGTAGCATGTAAGTGCCTTAGACAAATAAGACTATAATGATTGAAAAGGAACTGTTGAAGAATTTGCAGTGCAAGGGTAGAAAGGAAAATGAAAAAGCTAAGACACAAAATCACTTGCCAAAATTTGCAGAGGTCAGATATCCCACTGCTCGTCTATTATGTTAGTAGGACTTTGGCCTTTCTAGTTTGTTGCTGTCAAATGTTTTATTTGCTTCATGAGATTCACATACACACTGCATGAAACATCCCAGGAATAGGATGAGGCATACCCTGCCATGTAGTCCATCTGCAGAAATGAAGTTTTTGAAATCAGAAGGCAGTTTTGCCAGTGTCAGGCACTCCTCGTCTCCTGCCATGAAAATGCCTGCAGGGTGACTGTAATGAGGAGTGGAAAAACCTCGCTTCTTCCTCTGCTGCCTTCCTGAGTTTGCTGGTCTCAGCCTGGGTTCAGACATTGCGAGTCGGGGAAACAGACTTCAACAGTGCTTCACGTCACAGCAAGTAACATACAAAGAAGTTGCAAAGCTGCTCTTTTATCCCCCCAAAATGTTGACACCCTATTGTTTCTTTGCAAATGATATTTTGCAAAAATGAAGTAGTTAATTCTTTTTCATGGTAAATGCAAGGACTACCAGTGTTTGTGTGATGGCAACTTCAGAATTTATACCAGGTTGTATCAAGTGTCACTGAGAAGCAGTGCTGGAAGTTCAAAAGACAAGCAGTGAAAAATATTTTTCTAACATCTTCCTGTCATGTACGCTGTGAGTGCATTAATTTTTGCTTGAACGATGAAACAGGGAGACCTGTAAAACAACGATCTGTTTGTAATGGGATTCTACATGTAGCTTCCTGATACACAACCTCATCTGGGATGTGAAAGGGCCCTGCCAGTTATCAGTGTGATAAATACTATTTTTAGGGATAAGACAGGGAAACTTTAGCCTGGTGAGAACGGTGTGAGCAGCATGATAAGCCAGGCTGGGGTGTTCTGCCAATCAAGGTCAATCTGTGCACAGCCAGGAAATGAGGAAAGGCAGGGGGGGAACGCTACACTCCCGTGGTGCCTCATGCCGCACCATGCTGGCTGTGTGCCTGGGCAGCTTTGGAGATTGCTGCGGACATGCCAAACCCTGGGCTGGGTCTCCTGGCAATTTGCTGCCAAATGCACATGGGAAGTCACCACTCACGGGCCTGCTGCTGTAAATTAAAGTTCGTCCGTGACATCTTATTTCTAAGCAGTCTCCAGAGGTGGAAGGGGAAAGACGGGGCTCTCTGCAAGCGGGGTCCTGGTTACGGAGCAGCAATACATCTCTCCTAACAGTGAGCACCAGGAGAGGTGGCTTCACCCCATGGCTCTGCCCCAGCCTGGTGATGGGGGAAGAAGGTGGAGCAGGGCTTCACCCTGTGTCTTCCATACTGTTACTTTAGGGGGAACAAAGAGAAAAGTTTCTTTTGCCTGGGCATTTTATCTGTGGAACCTCTGTCAGTGTACTTCAGCAGGGCTAAGACGCAGTATCCATGGCATGGAGCAGCAGGAGTGGGATGCTGGCACAGCTCATTTGCTCCCACCCTGGCTGGAGATGGCTATTTTGGTCTGGAGACTGGGAAGGGATTTTGGATCATGACAAAGATTATATAGCAAAAGCACAGGTGATAGGCTGGGGGGGGGTGGCACTGAGATTCACAAAGGTGTTTAGTGGGGCTAAGCTGCAGAGGTGAATGGTGGTTTCTTGGTCCTTAAGGGCCACGGGATGTAAGGAAGTTGGCTCAGGGTCACCCACTGGCCTTCAGCTTATCTTCCCCACTCCACACCTCCCTTCCCATGGAATAAAACATGGAGATGCTGGGGTAAGGGTGTTAGTTGAGGCCACGGCTGTGCGGAGAGCAATACAGCAGATAAACCACATTGCTAGACATTTAGCAAATGACAATAAAATCCTATACATCCTTCTAACCCCAAACCTTCTGTGCACCCACACTGATACGCACATGGATGTGGTTGCAGTGTGGGGCAGAAGCAAAGCATGTCCCCAGGACTGTCCTCTCCTCCAGCCTGCCCCAGTCCCTCTCTCTGGCAGGATGTCTGCCTGCTTGTCTCAGCCTCCTCTCAGCACCACACCACCCACCATCTTGCTGAGGGTGTGCTCTGCATGGAGCTGTTTTCCCAGGGACAGGAGCATCCTCTGGGCATGCAAAGTGTTCCCTCTCTGCCTGTGCCACTGCTGAGTCTCCTGCTCTTTCTTACCCCATTATGAAGAGTCAATTTGACAGAATTACAGGCTCTCCTTACATGCCTTTGTGATCTTGGGCTTTGACTAGCTTTGCTCTTCTTGTTTTGGGAATCAGTGGTGCATCTCTGCAAAAGCAGGTCCTCCAGTGAAAGCATACAGCTAGTGTGTGTGGATCTTGCAGAAACATCTTTTATTCCATGGTTTTGCGAGCGATTGCTCCTGGGTCAACCTCAGAAATGTCTCTGTGAAGGCTAAACCCCTTTGGTATGTCACCTTCATTTTCATGCACTCATGGTGTTCTGCTTCACAGAAAAATGCTCCCGTGTGGCTGCTATGACGATGGGCACCCTTCCCACAATGGTGCGTGTGGTACAAGGATGGTCAGAGGTGCCTACCAGCTCGTACCTGAATGCCATGATTTTATTTTCCATGAGGGTACTGGTGACAGGCATGGGTTTTGGCAAAACCAGCACACTGGTAACTGGCATGGCCTCAAAGGGTGTTGTGTCTGTCCGGGACTCCAGTCTTGTCACTTCACTTTGGTCTTCCAAGGAGCGTTGTTCTCCCCTGCTGCTGAAGCCACTATACAGGACAATGCAGTGTACAGCAAAAATAACTTTTCTAACATATTTCTTGTCCTATTGACAATATCAGTCATGAAGACAATGGTTTCTCCAGGGCAAAATACGCTTTTCTCCAAGGAAATCCAAAGGGTCACAGAGCCACGACTGAAGCAGCAGAAATAAACTAAATCCTTCCTATCTTCCACCACCAGTGGGGCCTGCATGGAGACAGTGAAAGGAAAGGAAAATCATGGTGAGCTCTTGTTGCTGGATACGGGGTAATTCCCAAACACAGCGTGTGTAAACCCCTTATGCAACACCTGAGGCTGCTCAACCCTCCCCACAAGCCCCACCACTAACTCAGAGACAGCTTTCCCTGCTGCACCAAATGTGACATGGTTGAATTACCACAGTCCTCCAGAACATCTGGGCAAAGAATTCATGTGTGCACATGTAAACATCGTCACCTTTAGCTATCCATACCTCAATCTGGAGAGAGGCCACAAAATTGTTAAAATTGTTAGAACCATCCTGTTCTAGCTGTCTTGATGACCTTTGACTGACTGCTCAGTCTAGGTAGAGTTCAGTAAAAAAAGTCACTTCCTATTTGGTGATGCTTGCCCAAGGCTTGTACTCCGAAGCAAGAGCTTTTCCCTTCATCCCAAAGCACTCCCTACACATCACTCTTGAAGTCTTACAGTGCACCTTGCACCTTGTATGCTAGAAAATAAATAACTTGGTACAAGCCCTAGGACAAAGACGGTAGAAGATACTGGAGTGTCATTTGAGTGCTAAAAGGAGAAAGCTCAGAGCTAAAAGTTCCTGGGCACTCAGTAGGAAGCAGTTGCAGCTGTGGATCAGAGCAGGGTAGGTCTGTGTGTTTCAAACTCGGGGAGCTTGTTCCCCTTACCGTGTCTTTCACGTCTTCTGCAATCACCAGCAGTTCCTTGCAACAGCAAACATCTCTCCTCTTTAGCTAAGACATTTTGGCGGCTGCAGCAAGTCCCTTGAACAAAGTAGGAGATAGAGCCAGTTTTGCTGGTGAATGTGGAGGGAATAGTTGGAGGAAAGGTGAAATGGAAGTCAAAGGTGTGGACCCCAGAATCCAGCCAGCCATCTCAAAGTCAAACAACATGCTGCTATCAGAAGTCTTCTAAACATTTAGGATGTTTGTACCTTACAGAAACCTTGATGCTTCTCCCAGAATCCAAGGTGTCCTTACCATCTGGTATTGCACCCAAAGTGCCATAAAGGCATCATAAGGGGTGGGCTGTGCATTGCCTCTTCGGGTCAGCTGCTGGATGTATGGACACTTACCAGTCGGCAGACTTGAGAACTGCTAATCTGCCTCATTTTAACACGAGGCGGGAAAATTATGATCTGTTCCTTCAAATGTCAGTGCTTCTGTGCCACTTCTCCTTAATCAAATTCAGTTCTGTATGGGTGAGGCCCCACTGCCTGCAATGAAAGACTATCCCACCTTTGCAAGGGCAAGTTTGGCCTCTTCTGGCCAGGTAAGACCAGCTCTTGACTCTTTATCAAAGATCTATTTCTTCTAAACACCTATATCTGCTGGCAGTTGATCATCCAGACTTAAGCCTTCTTCCTTCTAGTAATTCGTGGCAAAACTTCACTTTAAACAACAATATTAGAGGATGTGTGACGGCTAGTATTTTGTCCTGAAAATGCAGATGAATTCAACGATGCCTTGAGTTTTAATTATCTAGACTGGATATTCTTGTTGGCAGAAGAGCCTGGATATTGTTTCCTCACAACACAGGAGATTTACCAGGTGGCATAACAGCATTTTCAATCAATCAGAGTTGTAACCCTGAAGAAAGGAAATGCCTAAAACAATCTGAAAGGGAGCAAACTAAAATTCATTGGCCTCTTAGATAACTGCAATATAAGAAATTCATGTTCTCTATTCTGACAGTTTTTAGAAACCTGACATTCCCAGGGTCTTATCTCACACAACATTGTCTTTAAGTTATTTTGGCAATGTCTGTGTTTTGTTAGAAGGAAGGATTTCGAACTGTGAGCAGATCTGCAATTTAACCTTGAAAGAAATTGGTGTTCCCCTCCTGGAATGGTCTGCAGTCAGGCCCTGGTGGGGGTGATCTGTTTTGCAGCCCCAGCACAGTGTGAGGATTTACTGGAAGAGTTAAAGATCCTCAGCCCCTGCTGCAGGTATGGCCCGAGAGCCTGTCTTTGTGTGCAGGGCTGGAGTAGGCCCGAGGTGCAAAAGGCTTGCAGATGCTTAGTCTATGTACAGCTTTAATCCCACTCTCTCTGGCTTCTTCCACATCACTTCTAAAGAGACTTCTCTGAATTGTGCCCACTTGCTAAGCTGTGCTTAACTTCCCACACGGGCCCTTGGACTCAAAATGATGGTGGCCTTAAACAATGTCCCTGAATTCACCCTGGAAGTGAAGATGCACTCACTTTCCCTGGCTCCCTGTGGCTGCTGAATGTAAGCCCTGTTCCACAGGAGCACCTGCCCTCGACTTGGGCTCCAAAACCCCCTGAAACCGTGCAACAGAATTAATTCCATTGTATACATTTTTATATAGGGTGCTCCCAAGAGTTAGTTTGGTGTTCAGGAGAACACAGGAACTTCAGTCACACCAGAAAATCTAAGTCAATTCCAGATAATTTATTGTGTTAGTTAATTTAAAAAGTGTTCCCTCTCATATTTCTCATCAAGGGAGGTGATGGCTGCAGCTGTGGGGCAAGTGCAAAGAGGCTGCTGGTAGGAGTGACTTGAGGGGTGACCTTTCTATGGGAGACACAAGTAACTCCCTGGACTGTGACTGATAGTGCACAGCAGTGCTTGAAGGGTTTCCAGCTGTCTGTAGTTTTGGGAGCTCCTGCCTCTGGTTTGCTCTGACAGGGAGGTTTCTGCTGGTGATGAGGATGGTTATCCTTGGTAGCAGTGAAATTCATCCATTTTCCTTTTCTGAATCTAATTAACCTAGAGATGCTCCCAGTCATATTCCATGACTGCCAGAAGTCAGTTCCTCCAGCAGTCTTTATCTCACAGAGAGAAAATACCAAGTTTCTTGTGTGAGGGTTAAAAAAGAAATACAGCAGCAAGCACCTGGACCCACATACATTCACTTTTTACAGAGACATCAGATGTGACCTGAGTAGGGCATGTGGTAAAATCAAATACCAGATAGTAACATGCTATCAAGAGCATATTAGCAGCTGAGTGTTAAAAGCTGACACAGGTAGAAACCTGTTTAAACACACGTTCCTTGTGTGCCAACAGTAGTGGGAGACACAGAGTATTCGGGTAAGAAGGGTCAGGTCGGTATCTTCTTTCATGTTTTAAAATGCACATGTTAGACTTTCTTGGACTTGTTAGAGCACTTCTGCAGAGATGTAATCAGTGCTGGAAAAAGAAGGAAAAAGACTGAGATACAGCAGTAAAAATCTGTTATTAAACTGTACTGTATTGGCAAGTCTTGATGGATGTGGGTGCTCAACTCTTCTGAAAACAAGAATAATATATGTGTAGGTGGCAGAATACGGATTTAAGTGTGTCTTTAAGCAACACCAATTTGTACTTTAGCCAAAAAGATCCGGATTTGAGGAGCTTTACTGGTACTTGTTCTTATAATGGCAAAATTTTTTCCAACACTCATCCTTTCTCCCTCTTTTCTGTCAGGGCTGTAACATCTGGCAGCCTACAGAAAGCATCCGCATGCTGCCGTATGTAAAGGCAGCATGCTTGTTTACTAAGACTTTAATGTATGTGTAAGGGGAAAATGGCCTTTGGGTGACGTAGAGCCTTGAAGTCTGGGAAGAAATTAAGCCTGATCACTGCAGGTTGTAGCTCAAAAGCATGATTTTCGTGTATTGACACAGTCTGACTTCAGTACTAAACTAATCTAGGGCAGTGACCACCTATGATCTGTAGACTAAATTTTCAGGACTCACATCACAACCTAAGAAAGAGGAGATAAAAAAGGGGACTGAACCTCCTAGAAGGCTTCCATTTTGTTTAAGCATCCCCTGAAATGAAAGAAAATTGTCTGAGGTGGCCATTGCATGCCACTGATATTAATAACTTTTTAATAAATCTGTACATTTTACTAGTCAGCTTTACATTTATGTGTATGTGTGTTGGGCTGTATAATATCACAAGGGAAAGTGCAAAGATGGAGCCAGGCTCCCAGAAAGACAGGAGGTTCCCTCTGAACATCAGGACTGTGAAACAGGTTGCCCTGAGATGTTGTGGAGTATTCTTCCTTTGAGAAATGGAAAAGCTGTCTCGACATGGTCCTGGGAAACCATCTCTAGGTGACCCTGCTTGAGCAGAGGGTTAGGACCAGATGACCTCCAGAGGTCCTTTCAACCTCAACCATTACACGATTCTGTGATTCAGTGAAATAATCACACTTGTGCAGGTGTTTTCAGTATATCTCATATTTTTCTTGTCTCTCAGTGAAGATACTCTAACAACTGCCTTCACTATAATTGTCGATATGATAAAGCCTCTGTACCCAGTGGATATATGCTGACATGTAAGTCAACAAGAACACTGCAAGCAAGCATTTTAGATGAACAAAGAATGCTTCAGTGATGTGCTCACAACTAAAGGTTTCCTACCTGCTGCAAGATAGGTTTTGATAGATTTCTGTGCAACAAATACTCACTTCACAGATACACCCACCAACCCATGTGGGACTGCTCACACTCTCAAACACTGTTGAGCGTACCGGAATGCTACTGTTCATAGTGAAGCCCTGGTGGCCAGATGTGCTGAAAAGGAGTATGCTATGGGATAAAACCAGAGCACATGGACACTGGCAAAAGCAAGCCTTCCTCCCCACTGGAAAAGGTCTCAACCCACCTTCCCTAGCCCGCCAAGATGCTGTTCAGTTAAGTGGCACCTCATGTCAGTGTTTTACCCTGTACGTGGAATTCCTTTGCTTTGGAAATGTAGACAGCCTGGTTGGTGCAAGACGTGCTCTTGTCATAGTCCAGTTCAGGATTCTCCTCCTCAAGCCACCTCAGGTAGCCTCTTCCCACGAGCTCCACCTTCACCACAGGGTCCACGAGGGTAGTCCTGAGGTTCAGGACCAGTTGGCCCTCTATGCTGGAGCCAGCCAAATGCACCTCAATTTCAGGCAGCACCAGGTTAATTGCTCTCACTGTTGATATAAGGGAAGAGTGGGAGCTGGGTGCTGCTGGGGCCTGGAGCTTAGATTGCAAAATAATCTCCAACCTCATCCCATGACACCAGGGTTTGTGAGGTCATGGCTTGGGGGATGGGTGCAGGGTGCCCCACAAAGAGAGAGCTTAACTCTCCAAACTATGCCAGAGGGGATCAGAGCCATTTATCTGATTATTAGCAGCACCTAACCAACTGGCAAGCATTTAATTATATATTTAGGACTGGTATCGGCAACACAGCAAATAAATCACAAGTTCGGAGCAAATGTTGATAAACACACAGAGATTTCTAAGCTCCTTTCCCTGACTAATCCCCAAAACTTCCCAGTGCGCACACACACAGTTAGGTATCCCTCCCACTCTGGGGTGCTGGTTCCCCAACTCATGTACCAATTCTTGGGGAAACAGGGGCATTCTATGTGCACCCTACCCACTAATCCATCCATCAGTGAGAACACATCCCGTAAGACCCCCACACACCCTGCGGCACTGCACCCCATCAGCATCAGTGTGCTGGCTGCACGCAAGCTGCTCGTGCCATCCGGCTTCGGTGGATGCTGCTTCCCTCATCCCACTCCTGGGTCTCATCCCTGGTCACAACTTCTCACACGTCCTGGAGATTTCTTTCCAGGCTGACTCTTCTCTCTAGTCTTCTGGTAATCCCCTGTTGACTGTTTAATCCATCTGATGGTTGTCTCAAGTAAAGTTCACCATTCCTACTTTCCTCGTGGTGTTACCGGTTTTGGGCAACTTCCATCACGGAAGGTACAGGTTTGTGTTCACACCTGCTGTGCACAACCCTCCTCACTACCACATGAGCCATTGTTTTCTGGGCATGCTACCAAGGGGGACCTGTGCAAACTCCCACACAGTAATCCATGAGCGGTGGGTAGTAGATGTGACTGAAACTGCTAGCATAAGCAGTGGCCAGAAGACTACAGCAAGTGTCAGTGAGATCTGGGGAAGCAGGGCAGGTGAGCGGCCACCACACCACACCTCTAGGAGTGAGGGGTCTGGCTGAAGCTGACGGGCTTTCGGTCACCAGTGCAGGGTGATTGGCAGGATTTTATGTAATGTAGGAATGTAATGTTTGGTGAACGTGGCTAAAGGCAAAGGACTGAGATGAAGCTCAGCCCGAACTCCTCTGTCTTATCAGAGCAATTACAGCTAGCTCGAGCTGCTACAACTCAATCATTGCATTAAGGAGAAAGACACATTCTTTCCAAAAAACATCCCAAATCACTGTAAGGCTGATTTGAGATAGACCACAGGTGCTGTTGGACACTTGGACTGAATGGGTGTCATGCTCTGACCTACATATATGTGCGAAAGGAAGAAAAAGGGTGCAGTGTGGGAGGTCAGAGAGTGAGATTTTCAGCTGGGGGAGCAGGATGAAGGCAGCTACAGAAAGGGCTGCAGCCAGGATCACAGCTGGAGCCAATGCCAGCAGACATCTGTGAACCACTGATGAGTTGTGAGCCCAGAGTGAAAGCGCTGGCACCTGCTCTGCAGAACGCAATTCCAGAAGCAATGTTCCCAGCTGCAGGTTGAGGATGAGGGCACATGCCGAGAAATGCTGAAAATTAACAGATCAGGACGGCCAACACTTTAGGAAACAAGTCACAGCAGCATGTTGAACTTTAAGCCTTTCCTCATCCATACTAATTAGTCGCTTGTTCCAAAGCTGTCAAGATTCTCCCTTGCAGCCTCTGTACCCCATCCTTGCTTAGAGTGTTTTCAGGTGTTTCTTTTTTAAGGGAAAAAAGCAGTGAATTAACATGCTGCCTGTCACTCAAGTCTCTATTCTTGGCTGGTGCATCTCATTCTCTCAGCCTCTCCTGGACTTGCCTTGTTAAAAAAAGAAACTCTTTGATGCCCTGAATTGTAGTGAGAAGGAAGAGTTTCTCAACTGGGCACAGAATTGCCAGTAACAACAATAACCTTTTTCTTATTTATGCTTGGCAGTTTTCAGCAGTCGTTGCCTTGTGCACAAATTGTGTGGTGATGGGTGGAAAAAAATAGCTTATAGCTGCTAGCATGAGTGATGATGTATCGTGAAGTAAAAAATTATAATTAGTGATAATATATAAATTGAATGCTAGAGTCCCATGGTTTGGTGCTCAGACACTGATTTATGCTTTACAAAAATAGCTTACAGCTATGATCTCTGTGTTGCCATTACACCAAACCAATATTTTATCTCAATCTGTACATCCCCTGAGAATTTTAAGTGTCATCTGAGCATGCAATCAGACAGAAAAAGAGGGAACATTGCTTTTAAGTTACGGTTTGTGTTCCTTCCTTAACTCCAATTTCTGTCTTGAAGTCAGACCAGGTAAAAGTGAGTTGTGCTAATGTTGTTTCTTTGAACCTTGTGACATCTCTGACAAAATTATTTTTAAATTTCATTTACAGAAGAACAGTAGAGTATACTTTTAACAAAAGTAAACTTCAAAAGGTACAGTAAGGAACATGATATTCTGTCTTTGCCTATGTTGATGTGTGGTGTCATTGATTTTGAGCTTTCGGTTGATATCAGCCAAAACAGAACCTTCCGTCTGAATCAGCTACTCTTCAGAAGTTACAAATGAAAGGAAAGTGGATCTATAGCTCTCTACAGTTAACTTTGTAAACCAAAATCTGGCTTCTGTAGCTTCCTCTCGGCCATTTATGAAGCTTTATGCAGTCCCACTATGTTTCATAAACTTGTCCAGGCATCAGGGAGGGCTGTGTTTCCTGGTTTCATTCTCTGAGACTCACATGAACATTGCCTTGGGTTTGAGCCTCCTAGTTTCAGTTTAAAATGTTAAACCTGACAACTCAAGGGGAGATGATGGCCTTACAGTGGGCTTACAGTGTTGCGCTGTGGTAAAACACATCATTATGAGGTTGTGCCAACACAATCCCAGAGGAACCAACCTCAGCCGGGGGAAGCCATGTCACTGTGGGTCTGTACAAGGACTGGCTTCCCCAGGGACCTTGAGGTCTAAAGGACCTGGATGTGACAAAGCAGAGGGAAGACCCAGGCTGAGCTCTTGGGTTCATCATAGAACTTGGACAGGTCTGAACCTTAAGAGGACTTAATACAAAAGGGTTGCACAGGTCTCATTTATATTCTGCAGCTTTCCACCAGTATAGGAAGGGTGCACACAAATTTGCACACAAATTCTCTTTTTGAGTTGAGCTGCCTCTGTAGGTCTCCTGGTGGTGACACATGGAAAAAATTTAGTACCTGCATTTTAATTTTAAGTTTCCTGTATTACAGGGGAATTAGGCTGTACTGATATAGTGCTTTAGATGCATGAAATACTAGCATTAGCTTTCTTGAAGCCAACTTCACAACCATCTTATAGGCAGTGACATAGCTGTGAAGAAACTGTCATGGAGGGCTCTTCATACACTCAGCCCCTGTTAATACAGAGGCTTTACAAGGGACCATGAATCAGGCAAATGAATGCGGTCTCTTTTTGCCAAGCTCTGTCTCTCTGTGGAAATAAATAATGTGTAATAAGTACTGTGAGTGGGATAGCCAAGCAGAGCTAAATGGATAATTCTTATTTGGCATTCCCGTACAATGAGTGGGAATCACAAGGTTCAATTTTCTTTTAATGCTGTTTTTTGGATGAGATTATGATATATTGTGCGTAAAAGTAGAAAATCAATGCTTTCACTAATAATGTTTTTTATTTTATTAGTGAGTGCATTGCAAAATGTAACTTTTTTCAGCTGTCTTCCAACTTTGAAAATATTTTTTATACCAATATTGGTATTCTCCCTAATCCTGGTATTAAAAATTACCTGTTATTTTAATGTTACGTGATATCCACAGAGCAGAAAAATACACCATTTCTACTGCCAGTTGGTTCTCCACCAACTTGTTCTGCAACAGATATAAAGAGCTGTGCCATACAGGGATACTAATTTCATCAGAGGGCTCAGAAGTGTAGTTGCCAGGTTTTTTGTAAGCCAAAATCTCAAGACACCTTTTTCTGTGAGGATCAGCCTAAATCAAGCTGACTGTAAATTCCGAACATCTCCTTTATTCCTTGTCTAATCTCAACATTTAGCAAGCACATGCAAAAGTAAGAACCATTTTAAGAATTTATAACTTAACTTGGCAACTCAGGAGGGGTAAGAAATACACCAGACCCAGCAAGACTTTAAAGCTCTACCATGATAGATCTTACCTGGAGTAAGTACTGAAAAGCTGTCAATAGCTGCTTGTAAACAGTAGAGCTTGAAATAGGGAAAACATGTTTTTTCCCTGTCAGAATGGCACAAAGCCTTGGCTGAAGCCCTTGCCTGGCCTATCCATCTGGCTGATGTGAGAAATGAGGTATTGATTTTTCTTATACCATATGATCAGAAACTTAGAGGATCCACAAAGCTAGCAAGCAACACACAGTTTATTACACTCTGAGATGTTACAAAACTTTTGCAACACCAAATCTATTGGTGTTTATTTATTTATCTGTTTACCAAATGTAACTTAATTCACATTAACCAAAGAAACATGGAACAGACACTGCTAGATTTGCTTCTAGTGAGAACTGATGTAGCTAGGAACTGGCTTATGTGCTACAGCTTTCCATGTTACAGATGGTTTGTTCACTAAAAGGAAATAATTCCTTTGTTAAAAGTAAGCTGTAAGTCTGCCATTTTTCAGAATCACTCCATTAAATTAGAAACATGGTTGCTGCTCATTCCAAGGAGATGTGTGCATCCAAATCTATTCTGTATCTTTGAAATTATCTATCTAAGCACCCAGAATGATCTCTTGTCTAGAAAATAGTATACAAGAGGAAATCAGAGTGGAAAATATCATATGTTACAATTAAGAAATTACAAGGTGAAGTCAAGAGTACCTGTAGGTACTTGCAAGAAATTAAGATCTCAATGTACATCAACATAAGATATTTCATTCTTTCTACTCGAAGTCACTTACCTACAAGAGCCAAAACAGAGAATTCTGAAGATCCCGAAACATTAGTGAGAATGAGAAATATGTGCTGCTGGCTACAATAGTTGTCATCAGTGGGAAGTTTTCATCATTTTAT